CCCCCCCCCTCCCCCGCCAGCACCATGAGCAGCGCCTGAGCCTCATGCGGAGTCTCCAGGTAACAGAACTGTGTGGATATGGCTGAGTAAAGACAGCAAGAAAGAAACCAGGATTCCGACCAAACACAGGCGGAGGCAGCGCCCTGCCGCAGACAGCTCTAATGAGTATGCACCTGGAAGAGGGGACGGCACCTTTGACGCAAGCAGGGAGATGGTTATGGAAGCCAAGACTATTTTTTTAAAAATATCTTTTTATTGGTTTTTAGAAAGAGAGGAAGGGAGAGGGATAGAGAGAGAGAAATATCAATGATGAGAGAGGAACATCATCGATCGGCTGCTTCTTGCACGCCCCTAGGGATGGAGCCCGCAACCCAGGCATGTGCCCTGACCAGGAAATGAACTGGCAACCTCCTGGTTCCAGGGTCCTTGCTCAACCACTAAGCCACACAACAGGGTGCCAAGACTACTCTGACCAGTGAGGCTGCAGAGGCTGTGGCAGACGCGATGACTTAGGACACACAGTGGCAGACAGGCTGTGTAGTGGACCACAGGGGGGATGACGACAGAGAAAGCCGATGGTAGAGAGACCAACACGACAGGTGGGACGTTTAGTCGAGTAGCTCCAAAGATGACTACCCTCAGATGCTCGCAGGCTGATGACAGAGGCCCCACCACACCCTGAGTTTAAGCAGAGCCTCAGAGCTCTCCTGGAAGAGGACTGTTCCTCCGGTGCCTCCGGTCTGGCTGCTCATCTGTGGAGGACAGTCTGCAGACCCGCTCGGGGAGGACGGGAAGTATAAGAACAGCGGCAGAAGCCCAGGAAGAATTGCGGCCTCGGCTGGATGAACCAAAACCAGCACGCCAGCCTCAGCAACACAGCCTGCAGAGTGAAGACACTCGGGCTCAGGAGCAACCCGGACACCAGTGAGTCATCTCAGACAGGGACCTCAGCCCCATCTGTCAGAGGTCAGACCAGAGGGCTCGAAGGACAGAGTGAGCTGTCCCCGGAAGGTGAATCCTCAGGAAAGCAGAAGACTGGCCTCTCCACCCCTGAGACTTCCAGACCTGACTGGCTGCTCACAGTAAGGCTGGCCCTCCAGCAAGGGGGGTGGATGGGGGTGGGTGGGTCACGTGTGCATCCTGCCTGAGGCCAGAGCAGAGATCCACCGAGAGGTGGGGAAGTGGCTCCGGCTCAACCATCTCAGGAAGGACCAACCTGGGAAGATGAAAATCAGGTAGGTGGGGGCATGTCCCCAAAGTGGGAACTCCTGCAGGTCCCGGAGTGGGGATAAGGACTATGGAGGAGTCTGAAAGGAAATGTGGCAGAGGATCAGGACTCCAAACCTGCACCTGAGCCAACCACACCTGAAAAATGCAGCCCTCAAGGTCAGGGCTGTAAGTGTGCTGCCCGCCAAGCTGACTGGGAAGACCAACACGAGGGGAAGAGATTTTCCTATGTATTCTTTTATGATGTTTGAATGTGTTTTTTTAAATTGTATAAACATTTGTAAATTATACTGCCCTCCATAATAAAATACTATTTGTGCAAGTTTTAAAAAGCCTATAAACAAAAATTATAAAACTCGAAACAAAGAAACATATTTGTGGAGACACTGTTATAAAAAGAGGTGATTTAAGAAAAACAGTTCAGAACAGCAGTCACTTCGGGGCTGGGGAGAAGCAGGCTTGCGGGGTCACAGCAGCACCCACGGCAACTCTAACTGTGCGGGGACTCCCCTCGCTCTTAAGGGGAGTGGTTAGTTCCCAAATGTTCGCTTTCATTACTAACTTCCATATATTACATATAAACCGGAATGCTCAAATTACGAACTTGAAAAATCTGAAGAATGACAGAAGGCAAGGATGGTGCAGGCGAGGGTGGGTCAGTACCCTTGGGGGATGGGAGGTCAGCAAGGAGAGAAAGGCACAGCTTTCATGGAGGCGTGCACTCAGTCTGCCAAGGAAGAGACACGCCTCCCTGCGCAGGACTGAGGACCCACGGCCAGGTGAAGACATTCATCTGCGTGGAAGGAGGTCAGAAGAAAACCGAGGGACATGATCAGTGAATTAGACAGAAGGGTACTTGTAGAGAATAGAGACAAACATGCACAGGGTCAGTTCTTCGAGAAGAACTGTGATGTCTGAAACACTGCAGGCCCTAGCCTGTTTGGCTCAGTGGATAGAGCATTGGCCTACCGACTGAAGGGTCTGGGTTTGATTCCAGTCAAGAGCAGACCTTGGTTGCAGGCTTGATCCCCGGCAACCAATCGCTGTGTCTCTCACATCACTGCTTCTCTCTCTGTGTTTCCCCCTCCCTTCCACTCTCTCTAAAAACCAATGGAAAAATATCCTCGGGTGAGGATTAACAAAAAATAAGAAAACACTGTGCAGACTGGGAATCTGGGCCAGCGAGTGAAGGACCGTTCCTTCTACTGCTGGGTCCCCAGCTCCCATCCAGGCTGCTGCTGCCTTCACTTGGCCACCAAGACCCCCCACTCTGAGTGCATGCCTCGATGACTAGGAGCAGTCGTCTTAAACTGCGAGACACGACAGACATGGTTCAGAAACGGCACTGTCTTCCTTGAAAGGGGATAGACACCGCAACTAAAATGGTTAATGTCAACAGTTCCCACACCTCATTCACAGCGCCCGGTGAGAGGGGCGTGGCTCTGTCTCACCCAGGGCGAACCCAAGCACAGAAGCAGTGCAAGTCTACAGCCCTGTTTTCCATGATGACGTCATTGCTGGGCCCACACAGGCATAGTCAGTCATCAATACGTATGGAGTCTGACGGTTAAACATGGTCTCAGTTTAAAGAGCTGCCACTCACTCACTCTGCACCAGGAACTGCACGGGACGCTGGGGGCCTAGAGATGCGTACGACCCGACTCCTCCTGCCAAGGGGCTCATAGTCTAGTGCAGAGATGAACCTGCAAACAAAGAAAGAGCTTTCAGGTGACCGTTACTGAAACAGAGAGAACATGAAGGGGCACATGGGGTGCCCGGGGAAGTGGGTAATCCAACCTGCAGGAACGAGAAGAGAGAACACAGCCCAGGGACAAGGACATGCAGGGAGCTCGGGAGCCTGAAAGCTCTAGGGAACTTAAAAAAGCCTGAAATCAAGCCCACACCAGTATGTCTATTAAAAATAAGTATAGCCCAGCTGGTGTGGCTCAGTGGTTGAGCATCAACCTATGAACTAGTCAGGGCACATGCCCAGGTTTTGGGCTCGATCCCCAATGTGGGGCGTGCAGGAAGCAGCCGATTAATGATTCTCTCTAATCACTGATGTTTCTCTCTCCCTTCCTCTATGAAATCAATAAAAAGATATTTAATATCCTTCTGGAGTCCCCCAGTCCCCTCAGCCCCACAGCCCCCCAGGGCCTCCTGGGGCTCAGGTAACCAGGGCCACCCGAGGCTTGTGCTGCCAACAGTGGCAGCAGCAGAGGTGTGATGGGGCGTCACCTTCCCCTGATCACTGAGTTGCCTCCTGCCCCTCCGGGCTCCCGGACTGTGAGAGGGGGCAGGCCGGGCTGAAGGACCCCCCCCCCCCCGGAGGCCCCCCCCCCCCCAGTGCATGAATTTCCATGCATTGGGCCTCTAGTGTATGTATAAAATAAGCCCCTAAAATGAGCTCTTTAATTATAGGCGACAAATAATTTACATCTTCTGTTGGACTTCACGGCTGGTATGCTTGTAGTAAAACATTCATACGTGTGCAAGCCCTCCTATCGCCCCAGCCTTAAAGGACAGCATGTGGGCTGAGGTCTCCTGAGAGAAAGGCGCTGCAGGCAGCTGCCACGTGTGGGCGCACTCACGCCGCTCACCTGAAGCTCCAGAATCAGCTGTCCCCCTCCACATCGCAGGTCCCCAAACCTGCTGCCTGATGGACCCTTGGGCACTCATCAGCACCCCCTCCTCAAATTCTTCTTCAGTGATTTTGCCTTTTTTACACTTCTTCAGTAGTGTGTGTTATTCAGAAGTTCCTCCATGTCCTCATCCTCAAATTCAGAACCCACCTCCTTTTTCCTTTTTTTATTAATTTTCTTTTCCTTTTTGGCCTTCTGCTTCGACCAAGCTTTATTTTTTACGAATTTTCTCCTCCCTTCATTTTCTGTTTTCTCTTTTCTCTGCTGCCAGCTGTTTCAGCCTCTGCTTTTCTCTGGTTTTATCTTTAAATGGAATGGCGTCTGTGTTGATGTCCACAGGCACGAAGTCTGGAAACTGCTTTCCTCTCAGTTCCGGCATCTTTGGCATCTTCAGCAGGGCACCAGCAGCAACTCCCAGAACCCCTCTGCCACATGCTCCATAGTGCACCCCACTGCCACTGCCCTTAAAATTCAATACTCCTGTTCTTTTAACAGTTCTAAATCTTGGTTCGTTTCTAGATTCCTTTTTTACTGCCAATTTTCAACCATTTCCAAACTATGTGAATTCCTTGCTCTCAAGATTACTCTATAGCCCAAGATTAATCTACTCTACTCTATCAGTGATATAATGAATACAAATTCCTTGCCCTTATGAGATCAACAAACATCTGCATTATTACCGTGTGCTCTTCACTGCAGTGATTAAAAGACTTGCTGAATTCAACATTATGCCACCTTAAATAACCCATGGCTTGTACCACCCTCATCACTGCTGCCCACTAACTTCCTAAAGCTAGCTTCCTCACTGCTCCTCAACACAACTTCTCACCATCCTTTGACATTCAGCTCAAGTGTCATCTCTCCCTTTCCAGTTTTTCTCTCCTTAGTGGCTCTGTTTCACAGCACTGAAACCCTGCTTATTTCTCTATCTCCCTATTACACTGTACATTTTTTATTGCGACTCATCTTTTAATAATTTTTTAACTTTTAGATTACAGTTGACATATAATATTATATTAGTTGCAGGTATAGGACATCATGATTGTACATTTATATAACTTATAAAGTGATCACCGATAAGTTTAGTACTCATCTGACACCATACATAGGTATTACAATATTGTTGACTGAATTCCTTATGCTATATTTTACATATCCATGACTATTTTGTAAGCACCAATTTGTTCGCCTTAATCCCTTCACCTTTTTCACCCAGTTCCCCTAACCCTCTCCCATCTGGCAATCATCCAAACATTCTCTGTATCTGTAAGTTTGTTGTTTTGTTTGTTCGTTTGTTTTGTTCTTTAGATTCCATATATAAGAAGAATCGCATGGCTTTTCTTTCTCTGACCCACTTCACCCAGCATAATACTCTCTAGGTCCATCCATGTTATTGCAGATGGCAAGATTTCACTCCTTTTTATGGCTGAGTCATATTCCATGTCTTCTTTATCGATGAATGCCTGGATTGCTTCCATATCTTGGCTACTGTAAATGTTGCAATGAACATAGGGGTACACAGGCCTTTATGAGTTAGTGTTTTGGGTTTCTTCTTTTTAAAAATATATTTTATTGATTTTTTACAGAGAGGAAGGGAAAGGGTTAGAGAGTGAGAAACATCGATGAGAGAGAAACATCGATCAGCTGCCTCCTGCACACCCCCTACTGGGGATATGCCCACAACCAAGGTACATACCCTTGACCGGACTCGAACCTGGGACCCTTGAGTTTGCAGTCCGATGCTCTATCCACTGAGCCAAACCGGTTGGGGCTGTTTTGGGTTTCTTTAAATGCCCAAAAGTGAACTTGCTGGGTCCTTCTTTGTCCCATGTCATAGCCTTTGTTTTAAAGTCTATTTTGTCTGATATAAGTATTGCTACTCCTCCTTTTTTTCATTTCCATTTGCATAAAATGTCTTTTTCCATCTTCTTACTTTCAGTCTGTATATGTCTTTTGATATGAAGTGGGTCTTATAGGCAGCATACGTAAGGGTTTTGTTTTCTTATTCATTCAGCCATGTCTTTTGATTGCAACATTTAATACATTTACATTTAAAATAATTGTTTATATGCGGTTGCCATTTTATTATTCATATTTTTGATCTTTTTTTTCTTCTTAAAAGAACACCTTTTAACATTTCTTGTAATACTAGTTTGGTGGTGGTGAACTCCTTAACCTTTTCTTGTCTGGGAAGCTCTTTATCTCACCTTCGATTCTAAATGATAGCCATGCTGGATAGAGTAATCTTGGTAGTAAGTTTCTGTTTTTTCATCACTTTGAATATTTCTTGCCACTCTCTTCTGCCTGCAAAGTTTCTGTTGAGAAATCAATGGACAGTCTCAGATAACTAACTGGTTTTCTCTTGTTTTTAAGGTTCTTTGTTTATAACCTCTGCCGTTTTCATTATGTACCCTGGTGTGGGCTCTTTAGGTTCATTTTGTTTGGGGCTCTCTGCACTTCCTATTCTTGTATATCTTTTCCTTTCGTCAGTTTAGGGACGTTTTCAGTCATTATTTCTTCAAATTGGTTCCCAATCCCTTGTGCTCTCTCTTCTCCTTCTGACACCCCCATGATGTAAATGTTGGTAGGCTTCATGTTGTCTTAGAGGCCCCTTAAACTATCTTCTTTTTAAAAAAAAAATATATTTTATTGATTTTTTACAGAGAGGAAGGGAGAGGGATAGAGAGTTAGAAACATTGATTTTTTCTTTTTGCTGTTCTGACTGGGTGTTTTCTCTACCTCATCTTCCAAATGGCAGCCCCACCCAAGCTATTTCCAGATGCTTTTCCATATGAATGGCCTGTCCTGGCTCAGGCTTCAGACTTTGCTAAAATCTCTCAAACAAGCTGCAGCTGGTGACAGCATGACCCAAACCTATCAATAAAAGGTGCTAGCAGCAGCCTGCCTTGCTTCATAGATGGGCCTCTCCTGGGCACTTCCAAGCCCAAAACGAATAGCAAATAGCAGCCGTCTACAGATCCCTCTGTAGCTCCTGCTGTGTGGCCCCAGGCAGTGGCTGACTTTGCACTTCCCTGGAGGCCCTAGACAGTGATGGCGAACCTTTTGAGCTCGGCATGTCAGCATTTGAAAAACCCTAACTTAACTCTGGTGCCATGTCACATATAGAAATTTTTTGATATTTGCAACCATAGTAAAACAAAGACATATTTTTGATATTTATTTTATATATTTAAATGCCATTTAACAAAGAAAAATCAACCAAAAAAAATGAGTTCGCCTGTTACCTCTGACATGTGTCATACGTTCGCCATCACGGCCCTAGAGCCAGTGGACCCAGTGGATAGCTTCAGACCATAGCAGATTACAACTCTACACATCCATAAATGACACACTCAGTGAGCACCAAAGCCCCATTAAAGCAAGTCCTGCTCTACAGGGGTGTTTCCTGCACAGCAGCTATAGTCACAGCTGGTCCTCACAGCAATTGGCTTGGAGGTCAATCAACTCCTCCCAGTGATGCCAACAGCAATCAAGGCTCAACTACAAGACTGTGCATATAGCCCACACAGGGGCGCACCTAGAGTGCCCAGCTCAGGTGACTTACAAAAATATGAAGATAGTGTAAGGAGCCTCTGGGACAACTTCAAGTGTATCAACATTCCCATTATGGAGGTACCAGACACCTACAGGACACCTACTACACAAGGCCACTCTACCAATTCCAGGAGATATAGCAGTTCTGCCTAATACATAGAAACAAACACAGAAAAGCAGCCAACCTGTGGAGATAAAGAAACATGTCACAAATGAAAGAAATGGAAGCAAGCAAACTCTGGATACAGAGTTCAAAACCATAGTTATAAGGTTACCCAAGGATCTTCATGAGACCTTCAAGGATCTTAGTAAGAATACCAAAGACATGAAAAAGGCCAGTCAGAAATTAAGCATACACTAAAGAATAGTTTACAGGGATCCAACAGTAGAGTAGATGATTCCGAGAATCAAATCAATGGTTTGTAATATGAGGAAGCAAAAAACACCCATTCAGAAGAGCAAAAAGAAAAAAGAATACAAAAATATGAAGATAGTGTAAG